GGGCGACAGACAGACAGACAAGAAGTGTTTGGGGGAGAGACAGAGAAGGAATTGGCGAAATAAATGAAGAGCCATGATGCTGGCGGGGCCTAAGGAGCCGGGTGAGGTGAGGCGAGAAAGAGGGGTGGGGGGAGAGAATTGTCAGAAGCAATAAAGAAGAAATATGGGAGGCGCTGATAACAGCAAAGAGGGAGATAACACTATACAACCTTGACCGTCGCAACATCCTTGAGAAGAAGATGAGGCAAGTTTTAGAAGACACAGAGAGCGATTCCTGTCTAATGTGGGGTGTACAGTGTACACACAGGACCACTGGTTACTGTTTTCCATCGGTCTGCCAGTCAGATTTCAATTTTATGCCATCAAATTAAAATATTTTGAGAATAAGACTCAATGATTCTCTGAGGCTGATGCCAAACGGCATCAATGAATACAGTCAAAACTGTCAAAGACGGGCATCCATTAACGAGGAGAAAGATTGCCGTCTCACAGAGTGTCATTAATTTAATTAAAGTAAGAAAAAAATCACAATAGGAAGTAAAATATGGGGAATGGTCTTTTGTACAGGTGATTGTCTTATACAGGTGGCCGTTAGAGCAGGTTCGAATGTACAACGAATTGTTAAACAAATAATACACAGAGGGCAAAAGTGTCGCTTTCTTTTTGAAGGGCTACACCTAAAGCCTAAAGGCTATCTCGGTCATTAGTCGATCCAATTTTACCAAATTTCACACATACAACTAGCATAGTAAGGAGTCTTAGAATCCGCTATCAAATTTGAGACATACAACTAGCATAGTAAGGAGTCTTAGAATCCGCTATCAAATTTGAGAGAAAAACAAGGTGCGATTCCATGGCTATGGCGGCCATATTGGATTTGTTGACATGTCTTACGTAATGAATACCGCAATTATTTTTCATGGAAATAAATATCAATTTGTTTTTAGCATGCATGTTAGCAAACATAAGATCTACAGATATGTTTATTGAATTTTTCCTAAAAGAATTAGAAATTGTTTTATGGAATTTTTCCTGAGGTGTTATTCAAGTCTGCAAAAAAATCCGTGAAAATCCACACTCCAGACACTTCAAAAAAAATCTATTCCTTACATCAAAAATTCAACAGACAAATTTTTATTATTACATCTTTTTTTTTCATTCTTTGAAAATTTCATGACAATTGGATGAAAAATGATGGAGTTATTGAAAAAGGTATATAGAATAACCACGTTTAGAGAAAACAGGCGATAAAGGAAAATAAAAGATTTACTCTATGAGGAAATGGTGGAGACAAACATGCCCGGTAAATGAAGAAATAAGGCTCTATGGGGTTCTTTCTAATGCTATGGAATAATTGTAAGAGAGGCTGAAGAAGCTAAAAATGCCTACAACTCAAAATCCATAATTTTTAGCCGAATCGGGACTTTTGGGGTATAGGTCCGACTATAGTTTAGTCAATACAGAAACAACCCCCCCCCCCCTTTCCCAGGCTATCTCTCTGTTTATAAGCTACGTTCTTCTGAGTTCTGAGCGTCTTGCTCCCTGCCCAATGCCCCTAATGCCCCCGCCACCAATAAAGTGGCCACCTGTTTATTCAGGGCTCCCAGTCTGTCGTGACTGGTCACTGCTCGGGGGAACACAGGCTGCCCTTCAGTCTCCGCATAAAGAGACTTTGATCGCGAGCCTGCCGTGAGTCGGACGACCTTCGTGGCCAGCATACCGATGTAACAACACTCCTTTCTTAACCCTTTCAGAGCAGGGGCGTTTCCATCTTTGCGTTTAACCAGAAGAGATAGAATTATGTTCAGTGAAGAGAGATTCCATCTTTGTTCAGACGAGACAAATAATTTATTTCATGAGTGTTGGTACATCATGACGTATCCTTCAAGTGAAATTGCCAAGTTCTTATCTTTTGTAACCATTTCATAGTATGCATGCATCATATCGCCAGTCTTTCAAACTTTGAGATGAAGAAAACAGAACTGAAAATTCTATAAAACTAACGAAGTTATGCTTCATTTTTTTCATATATCGAAAAACAGCGTTTCTTAAAGTCAGACCAGTGGCAATGTTTATTTCGGACCATTATAATATACAAATCAGAAATACGAGTGTGTATATTTCTCAGTACGGTATGCACGATAGTGCCTGCCTTTTAAATGTTGATACGAAGAAAGCAGAATTGAATCATCTATAACTACCGAAGCTATGCTTCTTTTTTGGAGTATCCAAAAACAGCGCTTCTTCAAGCGAGCAAGATTTTCTTCCTCAATGAGTTAAGATTAAGCAAAACGTGAGTTAGCAATTATATCTTCTAGAACGTCTGCTCTAAACAAGTAGAAAAAAATGACAGAGAACCAGACTGGCAGATCACAAGCGTGTACATGCATAGATCTACGCCTAAACAGCATTGAGGACGTTGCGCTTGCTGCAAGTTACACACCTCTATATATTTTTTGACTACCGGCATTTAATTTGTTTTATGGAAATAATTAAAATGTTATGTCTGCTTCTGAAATATTGTTTTGGTTTAACTAAGCAAAAGCCATTTTGTGTGTGTGTGGGGGG